AAATAAAATAAAAATAACACTGGTATAATTGCCCTGCCATTGTTGCCTCATCTCACTTACCACCGCTTTGCCGTGGAAGAAAATGAGACACTTGCTGGGAGTACATGTATTTTGTGTGTGCGCATATATCGACGGGACTTTTCCCTGCTACAGGTTCATGTATGCGATCTCGGGGAGCCTTCCCATGTTCATGACCCTCGCCTGGATCTACTCCGTCGCGATGATCGTGAAAAACATCGTCTACGAAAAAGAGAAACGACTGAAGGAAGTCATGAAGGTACAGTATATATATATAGTAGTATATATATATGTATATATATATAAAATAATAAAAATTTAAGTTCAATAATATTAATTTCCGTATATATATATATCAAGAGTAGATATTGTGTTATTATCTACTCTTGATATATATATATATATACGGAAATTAATATTGTCGAATTAAATTTTTTATTTGCGTTGATTGAACAGTGATTAAACGTTTTTAAAAGTTGATTATATTCACTCCTGATTATGTGATGTATGAAGATTGTTGTCGTATGGTGTATAATTGACTGGAGTCGGTGGCGCGTGTTTACAGATGATGGGACTGTCTAATGGACAGCTGTGGCTCTCCTGGTTCATAGACTGCTTTGTCGTGATGTTCATCACAGTGATCGTACTTGTCATCCTATTCAAGGTAACTCACGTTGGGAATCTCACTCATGAGAAAATATCGGGCTGATATGCACTCATCTGTATGGCTGAAGTGAATGAGCCAATATCGCATTTCGAAAAGCGCTTTAATCTTTGAGAGTGTTTGGCTACCAAGCACATTGCTTATTCTATTTGTAGCTATACTAAGTAAGCTTTTTACAAACTGTATGCAGGCAGTTCTGACATGCTGGCCACCTGGTGCGTTTGATTGTGAAGTCACAGAATTGTCGTGTTTGAAGGTACGGAACGTGTCTCTCGGTTATAGAGAGTGAGACTTTGATTAAGGCTGATTGGTTTGTTTCAGTATGGAGGAATCTTGGAGCATTCGAATCCCTGGGTTGTGCTACTGTTTATGACCGTGTTTACTGTCACCACGATCAGCTTTGCCTTCCTTGTCAGTACCTTCTTCTCCAAAGGTAGAAATATATCTAATTATCTAAATAATTATAATTATAATAATTAAAATAATAATAATTTTCACACGAACACTCACTTCCAAGTGTGACTGTGCCCACCTTTCTGGTTTAAACAAAAACATATGAGTCTTTAACAATGTGTGCATGTTTCTGGGTGTGTGTATACATGCCAGCAATCATGCAGGCAGTCTGCCTGCCAGTCGGTCTATATCTAAATCAATAATATATAATATATAAATATTAATATAATAAACAAATAAATGTAAAATAAATATTAATAATTTATAATATATAAAATTCAAACGTATCTGTAATTTACAAATTACACGCAATTGGTTCTTTACATAATACTATTACGTTATACGTATTAGTGCTTGCGCATGTATTTATGCATATATTGATATCTATACTGGTACGTGTAAATCTATGTAGCACAGTGTTACTCCATGTGTGATGATTTTATGGTGATGCACATTCGCTTTGCAGCCAACCTCTCGGCTGCGGCTGGTGGAATCATCTTCTACTGCATCTATCTGCCATACCTCTTCACCTTCCAGTGGCAGGAGGTGATGTCCTCTTCTCAGAAAAGTGCTCTGGTATATAATACTATATAAAATTACTCGGTTAGATCCATAATAAGTTATAATTACTTACATAGACGAAATTTGCGTCCACTTCTCCGATAGACTTCCTCAATCCTGAGAATGTCACTCTGACACTCCGACACTCAGGAAGTATATCGGAGAGATGGACGAAAATTTCGTCGTTGTAAGTAATTATAACTTATTATGAATCTAACTGAGATAAACTTTATTTTTATGTGAACTATAAAGATCCGATGAAATTATTCAATCATATAATATTATGCATCTTACTGGAATGTCGCACGCACAACCCTTCATCATTAACTGTTGTGAAAGTTGACGGAATTGTTATTCTGTGTCAACAACCTAACCATAAGACTAAACCTACCTATATTAACTGCACTAATAATAATTATAAGGGTTATCTATATATTAATATTATAAGGTCAGCCTTGACAGAATGTTGTGCAGATAAAAACTTGTTTTCCCCTACGATTTTTGCTTGCGCCGCCTGTCGGGATCGGACCGTTAGTTTGGTGAGCTGTGTCTCTCATATTCCATTTGCCACGGAGACGCGTCGTCTTTGAAAAAATTGCCAAAATGCTAAATTGCGTTATTCCAAAGGGGAATTTCTTTATGGATAACTATCATTGCCTTTGGACAGGTGACAATGCATGAATCTATGCAACAATGTCTGTTTTACATTTTATCATTCCATTACAAGTTATTATACTTTTTGATTTATTTCTTGGATATTGCTTTGATATTAGATTTTTCTATGGGTTCTTGCAGAATCTGTTATCGAACGTGGCGTTTGGCACGGGCAGCTACTACCTCGCTCAGATGGAGCAGAAGCAAGAAGGAGCGCAGTGGCACAACCTGTGGCAATCGCCGATACCCGGAGACAACTACAACTTTGCGATGTGTATCATTATGCTGGCAGTAGATGGCGTCATCTATGCGGTGCTTACCTGGTACATCGAGGCCGTGTTTACAGGTGAGTTGTCGCACCTGATCTGATAGCAGGTAGTTAATCACACCTGCTGTATTTACAGGTAGGTGATTATGGAGGGAAATGAATGCAACAAACGCTACATCACTGTTAAAGCAATTAATGAGTTCATTCATTGTAATTAAGTAGTAATAATAGCTTGATAACAAAGTAGTTAGTATGAATGAGTAAAATAATATATAAAGAAATTTATTACTTGGTGCCGATTTCAAAGTTTGCAATAACCTCTAGAATAAGAATGTATATACGTGCTGTAAAGTCAGTGTAAGTTAATAATTAGGTTAGGTAGATGTTAACGTAGAATGAACAGTGGGAATGAACAGGAACTGTGGGAAACAGTGAATTTCAAAATTTGTAAAAACCTCAAAAATAAGACTGTATCTATGGGCTGTAAATTCAGTGTAGGTTAATAATTAGGTAGATAGATGTTAACGTAGAATGAACAGCTTTGTGGGAAACGGTGGAAGCATTATGGAACCCATCGTTGTCGAAATCGTTTATTTTTCTTTATCATCGTTCATCGATTACATTACGTTGCCAACCTCCCATTTTGCCTTGCTATTTTTAGCTATTTTTTAATATTCTTCTCGCGCATATCTTTCATCGTTTGCACAGGCGAGTACGGGGTCCCGCGGCCATTCTACTTCCCGCTGACGAAGTCGTACTGGTGCGGGACCAAGCCGACCGTGAACCAGGTCGTTGACGATTACACGGAGCGCGACGTAGAGATGGACCATGGTATGTGTATGTGTGCAGCGCGCACGCATCTACACACGCACGCACGCACGCACGCACGCACGCACACACGCACACACGTATGTACACATAGCTATACCTGTGTGTATTTATCTCGCTCTCTTTTTCTCTGTCTCCCTTTCTCTCTCTCTCTCTCTCTCTCTCTCTTTCTCTCTCTCTCATCTCCTCGTGCATCGGCATCTCTCTCTCTCTCTCTCTCTCTCTCCCTCCTCTGTCTCTCTGTCTCTCTCTCTCTCTCTCCTCGTCTCTCTCTCTCTCCTCTCCTCTCCTCTCTCTCTCTCTCTCTTCTCTCTCCCTCTCTCTCTCCTCTCTCTCTCGTCTCTGTCTCTGTTCTCTGTCTCTTGTCTCTGTCCTATGTCTCTGTCTCTGTCTCTGTCTCTGGTCTCTGTCTCTGGTCTCTGTCTCTGTCTCATCTCTCTCTCTCTCTCTCTCTCTCTCTCTCTCTTTCCCTTCCTCCCTCCTTTCCTCTCTCTCTCTCCCCCCCTCCTCTCTCTCTCTTCTCTCATTTCTACATTCATAACAACAGCAAATGCAGCAACAGCACCACCATCATCACCACCACCACCGCCAACAACAACATAATCCTATGTTTTAGATGCATGTCCGGTACGATATCATCTAAAAAAAACTGACAGAAAATCGTTCGGCCCACGACACCAACAATTTTTAAACCTTTTAAACTTAATTTTATTTGTTCTATTAAACTCTCCACACGTATCTACGGTGTTGATGCGATCGTCATATGACGCCATTCTGCCAACAACAATGTAATCGTATGTTTTAGGTGCATGCCCGGTATGATATAATTTAAAAAAAACTTTCTGACAGAAAAAAAAATCGTTCGGCTCATGACACGAACAATTTTTTTTACCTTAAACGGTTGCAATTGTCAGATGATGCCATCTTGCGCACAGGTAACGGGACGAGCATCGAGCGTGAGCCGGCCCACCTGAAGCTGGGTGTGTCTGTCAGGAACCTGAGGAAGGTCTACCAGCGAGGACAGAAGCCAGCCGTTGACGGTCTCTCGCTCAACTTCTACGAGGGTCAGATAACGTCGTTCCTCGGCCACAACGGAGCCGGAAAAACCACCACAATGTATGTTTACACTAATACAATGTACTTGTAATATGTGTGTATATAAACCACTACCATGTAGGTGTATACTAATACCATGTACGTGTAATATGTGTGTATATAAACCACTACCATGTAGGTGTATACTAATACCATGTACGTGTAATATGTGTGTATATAAACCACTACCATGTAGGTGTATACTAATACCAT